GGTGGCATGAGACCTTGGGGCCATGCATTTCCATCTCCGCATCACCCAGAGCTCTGCCCATGGCCATGTTTTGAGCGGAAAATCCTGCTGCAGCTGTGGGTTGTGTTATGGAGCAAACCCAGGTTCATGGCCACACGCGCCCATGGTGCATTTTTGCTGGGATGTGGCCCCCTGTGCCCCTTCCCAATGCTATGAGTAGGAGAAAGGTGCTGCACAGGGGAACCCCAAACCTTTGTAACCCAAAGGGGGTTACAAAGAGGGGTGGGGGACACCCAGGCAAATGCTGATTTTTGGAAAGGGCCATAGCTTGGCCTCCTCTTTCCAAATGCAGACGTGGTCTCCGGTGTTGGCACATGAGGACCACCACTGCCATGGCTGGAGGTGACCCTCCAGCCGCTCCCCAGTACCAGCCACTCCTGAGGATGCAGCGCTGTCTCAGCACGCAGCAGTGAAGGCAAAACTCCCCCAAAATCCCCACTTGATGTTTCATCAGTCCCTGGACCTCTGGGGATCATCACTTCTGGGGCTATGCATGACTTTTAGAGGCATGATTCAGAAAACAGGTGTTACCCCCCCCCCCGCAAAAAATCCCGCAAGGGTCCCTGTACCCCATGGCAGTGCTCAGCTGCCCCACGGAACGTGCCTGCCACGCTCCCAGCAGCTGTGATGGGCACAGGGCCTTCGGTACCCCCAGCATCTCGGGGTCATGCGTTTGTCTTGGCATTGGCTAAACCACGGCCAAGGTATTTTCAGAGACGTGTTTGCTGCAGCAAACGGGGATGGAAATGACGCTTCCGTGGGGTGAGTACCACCAAAAACATCCGTCTGCGCCAGGGCGTCGCAGCGCGGGACGGGCACGGAGCGGAGCCAGCCCTGCTGGGAAGGAGTGAAGAGAGGTCAAGGACAAGTTAAAATTGGAAAGAAAACTGAACATGCTGTTTTGTAGGATTTTGCTTGCTCTCATCTGCCAATTTTTTTCCACACCCCCCTCTTCCCATTGCCAGCGGGGCAGTGTGAGCATCTCCTCCAGCCGGTGGGGGCAAGGGGGCCCGTGGTGGCCAAAACGGCTATGAAGAGCCACCAGCTCTCAGGGGCTCTTCTTGGCAACCTTGACCACAGCAGGTCCCCTTAGCATCTGCCATCATATTTTAAATGTCCTTGCCACCATGTTATTCCTCCCCATCCCCAGATCTGCAGCATGCTGCACATTTTTGTGCTGAAATTCAGAGCTCTGTGCTGGAAGCTGCCAGGCATGAGTCTGGATTGTGTAATGAGCTTCATCTATTATTTTTACTTTTTTTTTTCCCACCAAGAAGTTTTTGAAAAAGCAATGTCTGAGAGCCTGGAAAGACCTGGTAGCTTTTATGCCTATCACAGCTTTTCTTTCCTGGGTATGGGTGGGCTCAAGCCCCATTCAGAGGCTTTTGGACCATCCTCCTTGTGCCCGAGCAGCTCCTCCATCCTCTGGGTCCATGTCCCACTTGGAAGCATGGATGAACTCACATTCCCAAATGTCTCCCTTAAAAATACCATTTTTTGCGTTTTTCTCTTGACAGCCCCAAGCAGAGGTTGAGTTTGTTTAACAGGTAGGGGGAAGGAGTTGCTTTCGCAGCTGTGGACTGAGTCCTGTGCTAACCCCACGCAGCATTGCCAGGGATGCCCTTGGTGGGTCACCAACCCTCGATGGCCTTGGTGTCTGACCCAGCTGGAGCTGAAGGAGATGGTGGATGAGGCCAAGCCCCGTGCCGGGGACTGGGCAATGCTGGCTGGCCCAGGAGAGCATCTGGGCAATCTGGTCCTGGGGCTTTTCAGCCCTGGACACTAACACAGAGGTTTTAGAGCTTCATTTGCTGGTCCTGCTTCCATTTTCCCCTCCCATGGGCAGTGGAGCTAGATGGGCTCGTTTTCTTTATCTCTACCTTATTTTGCCCTGTGTCCCCACCTTGTCCCACTCCCACCCCACTTGGTTCCACATTTGCATGCTGCTCGGGTCAAGCCCAGCTCGGTGCTTTCTGTGCCCGGGGCAAACCCAGGACCTGCTGCAGCCGAGCTCGAGCTGCCGCCGCTCCTCCAGCAGCATCTGTGCTCTTTGCACCTCATGGCCCCAGGCAGAGCACCCCCGGGCCCCCCGCCTGCTCCACTTGAAAGCGGGCGAGAGATGCAAAAGTTGTTCAAAGGAAATGACTGCGAGCATATCGACAGCACCGTACAAGCTTGTTACTGCAGGAACCTGAGATAAAAACATCCCCAGAGTCACAGCTGCCGTGCAAGCATCTGCGCAGCTGGCCGTGGGCACCTCTCTGGGCTGCACCCTACACAGTACACTTATAAAACACTCTGTCCACTCGTTCTTTTTTTATTTTTATTTTTCATTTAAGCCTTACAGTAATAGATTTATTATCACAGCAGATTATTGCAAACAGAAAGCAAGCCCTGACCTTGCACCAGGACAGCCCAGTGCCCGAGCCACAGCAGAAAGCATCTCACACAGACCCATGGACTCAGCACCTCCCAGCAGGCGCCTGCCCTGTCTGGGCAGGTAATTTAACAATCTAAGAGCCCAAGCAGAGCATTTCCCTGTGATAACCACCTGGCAGAGGCATGGGGTGTGTTAGCAGCTCACATGGGTAATCACCAGGAGAAGCATCACCACAAACAGGGGGGTGCAGGATGCAGCCCCAGCAGGCAGCCGGGCACGCCAGCCAGCTGCCACCACTTGCACACCCACGTCACTGCTGCGGGGCCAGGCAGCTTAGCAAGGCCAGCCCAAACCTATCAAATTCCCTGTTATAAAGTAATTTAAAGAACAGCAAACCCAGGGATGGCACGGGTGCGGGAGAGGTGTGAGCGAGCACAATAGGACTTAGGCTATGATTTTTTTTTTCAAACATTTGGGTGCCATGGCCCAGGGGGTGCTCATGTCGGGTGCTGATAGCAGCCCAGGAGAAGACCCAGGCCCTGCGGGTGCTCCCACATTGGGGTGCCCTGCTCCACACCGCCCTGGCCGCATTCACGTGGTCCAGCCCCACTCTCCAGCTACAACATGGCTCCAAGAGATGCTAAAATGGGAGATGCATATTATCTCCCAGTGGAAAGTATTTTAGCTAAATCCATGCTATAACCATTTTATTGACTCCAAGTACCAGAGAGAAGGTTAGAAGTGACTCTTTTACAAGTCATTTTGCTGTTAAATTTAGCTGTCCTATTTTCATTATCCCCATGGCTTTGGCAAGGGTGAGCAGCCTTCCCTAAAAGGCCTCGTTTCATACAGTAAGTTATTTGTTTCTCTCCTGACAGATATCTAAGCTTATAAGGTTTGTCTGCTCTGCTCAATAGCAGTATCAGCCTTCAATCTTATATGATTAGCATCAGCATTTCATATTTGCTTTTGGCTGCCTGTCTGACAGCTTTCCATGTTGCTGAGGACTGGAGCGTTGGGATGGTGTCATGTCACTTGTAACGTGGGATCATCTGATTTCGATTCTCAAGGTTCATGGTACATCCAAAGGACTTGGATGAATGGTTCAACTGCTTTTTTCCCCGTTTTGTCCAGTAAAGATAATTGATTCGTTCCACTCATTTCGCAGTTGTCAGGTCTGGAAAATATCGAGTTGAAAGGTCAACATGGTGCCAAGCGATGGGCAATTGAACATGAGAGGTAATGATATTAAAAGAAATGTTCCAGAAAAGAAAGATTTATGCTGTCAGGTTAAACTTTTTCTTATTTCCAAAAACATTTCCCCTTGCAGAGAGGGATCTTGTCCCAGACTTGGTGGCTGCAGTGATCCTGCACCTCCTTCGAGGTCACGGGCGGCAGCAGAATGAACCGGGCTCGTGGGATGGAGCCTGTCCTTGCAGCGAGTGCCGAAGCTGCTGGGCTCGGGGCTTTTTGTGGGAAACATCTCCTGTTCCCCCCCTGAAACAACCCTCCTCAGCCCCAGTGCTCCCCAGCAAAGAGCTCGCCCCTGTGGGGCTGTGCCTGTGAGGCTGCCCGGTGGGATGCAGTGTGGGTACAGGGTCCCCCACCCACAGCCTCTGCGCTTTCCCCAGCCACGAGCCAAACCCCCATCAGAGCACCCCACTGCAGCGATGTTGGCCCCCAGATTTTCGGTCTGGCACGTACAAATCCAGCCCCTTTCCCAGTGATATTCACTTAAAGCAGTGCCCGCACCACCCTGCCGAGCATCCCTCGCCGTGACCCAGGCTCGCCCTCCCAGCCCTGCTCACAGCCGAGCCTTTCAGGAAATGCTGGAAATGCTGAAAATGCTTCGAAATGTGCCCAGCCCAGCCCTGTGCGAGCATTGGGAACCGGCCAAGCCCCAGCTGGGTGGCCTCACCGCAGGAGGGAGCCAACCCAGGCACCCGATTGCCCCGTGGGTTAGCTCCGAATTGCTGGGCTGGGGGTTCTGTGCCCCCACCCTCCCCTTTCCTGACCCTTTTTCTGGGGCAGCCTCTGGGGGACAGAGGACGACATGGGTTGGGGACATGAACAGGAGACCCACAGCCTGAGGTGGCTGCTGGGGCAGAAAAGATGAGACCCCCCCAACCCCAGTTCCTAAAATCCTCTCCTGGGATGCCCACCACCTCCTCCATCCCGCCGTTGCCCCCGGGGATGATTTGTGGTCCCAGCTCACCCCGAGCCCTGCCCTCAGCCCCTACGTCCCCAGGGAGGGGCTCTCCCTGGGCCAGCGTACATCCCCCGAGGGCGGGCAGCTCCGTCCTGGTGGCATGTGGGCTCGGCACTGGGGTGGCCCTGTGCCCTCCCGCTCCCGCACCCCGTCCGTCCCCCGGACCATGTAGGGCACCAGCTGCTCCCACCCCAGAGCTTATAGAAAGAGGAAACCCCATCCCCACGCAGAGGAGGAAACCCGACAACCCAGATGTGCGCAGAGCAACGCTGATAGCGTCTTTATTATTTATTTTTTCTTCTTTTTTTTTTTTTTTTTTTTTTTCCTTCCCCTCCTCTCTGCAAACAGAGGAGTTGCTCAAGCGGCAGCGGGCACGGCCCGACCCACAGCACGGAGAGCAGCGGGGCTGGCGGGAGGCTGCGGCACAGCCCTGGTGCGACCATGGGGCAGAAGTGCATGGAGAAGGTGTCCTCCTTCCTCTTTGAGTATGACACCCCCAGGATGGTGCTGGTGAGGAACAAGAAGGTGGGACTGACCTTCCGGCTGATCCAGCTCATTGTCCTGGCGTACATCATCGGGTAAGGCTCCGTGGCACCTGCTTTCCCGCAAAATAATGCTTTGCCACAAGGTTAAAAAGCAATGGAGATGAAGGGACTCGTATATCCCCTATAGCCCGAAGCGAGGCGGGTTTGTTGCTGATGGCACAGCATCCCTCTGGCCACGGCCACTCCTGTGCTGCGCAGCGTCCCACCGTGGGTTTTCCAGGTGGCCTTTGGGTCCCTATGTCCTCCCCAGAAGCTGCTGCGTGTCTGGGCTGGAGGCTCATCCTTGCCCAGCCCCACTCCGCATGCTGGGGCCCCGGCTCCTCGCTGAGCCGCATCCAAATTCTGCTCGAGCTGCTGGACGGTGGCCTGAGAATCTGTTGTTATTTTTATTTTCATTTATATTAAATAAGAGGCATTTGGGGCCAGTGTGGTGATTTGTGAGACTTGAACAGCCTAAGACAGGACCATAAATCTCCCCGTCCATTGCCCCGGCAGGGAGGCAGGGCCAGCCCAGCAGCTGGGGCCAGGACAGAGCCTTGCTCCAAATCCCTCGTTTGCTTTGCTTGTGGGAGGCAGCTCCGAGAGCAGCCGTGGTGCAAGAGCAGCTGCTTAAAAAAGGCAACGAGTGGAGCAGGCAGGCTCAGAGCTGTGCAAGGATGCATGTCCTTGGGTGCCCTGGGGCTGCTGCTCCTGCCACAGCAACTCTGTCCCCGTCCCCTCAGCATAGTACGATGTGCTGTGCTATGGGATGCAATGCTTGATAACAGTGCAAAAATCTTTGCCGTGCCCCCATGGCTGCTGTGAGCTCAGCCCTCAAGAGAGAGACCGGCACCCTTCCATCGGGAAGGGCCCCACGGCAGGAGGTTTGCAGGGAGAGGGGTCTCTCACCATGAACTGGAAAAAATGGGTATTTTGGGGGCACAGAGCACCTAGTGCAGCCCGAAGGAGAGGCAGGAGCTCCCAGGGCTCAGTGCAAGCGAGTAGCTGTGGGGAACAGCAGTACCCATCCCTGCTTTTAGCACGGATCCCCTGGAAAGGAGGGAAAGCTTCCCAGGGGGTCACCGCAGGACCCCCCATCACTCCCACCCTGCTCACCAGTGCTTTGGCTCACAAGGGTAATCCTCATCCCAAACTGCTGGTGGGCCAAGGTCTAAAGGCTGCTCTGCTGCAAAGGGTTTTGCACTGGCCCGGACTGGTGTTAATGGGAGCAGTGTTGGCTCTCCTAAGGGCTGAGCCCGTGAAGCCCCAGGGCTCCAGCAAACCGGGCCGGGGGCAGCAGCTGCTGCGAAGGAGAACCAGCACCGACGGTTGCTCAGAGCGGTACTTGCTAAGGAAACGTGGCTTAAGCAACCCAGCTGAAACAGGGCGGGCAGCCAGGACGGAGCAAAAAGAGAACCAGCTTGGGGGGTGACAGCCAGAGGCAGAGGGGAGGAGATTGGCATAAAGTTGCTGTAATTCCTAAGTTTTTGCTGTTTTGGTGGGGTCGGGCACCGCTCGCAAGGGGCTGCCTGTGAGTGTGGCTGCCCATAGCCCCCCGGCCACGGGCATCCCCTCGCTGCCTGCTGCGCTGCCTCCGGTTCCCCGCCTGTCCCAGCCGCGATGCTCGAGATCTTCTCTTCTTTGAAAGCAAGTTTGGCAGGCAGAACATCGATTTATTTACAATTACCCCAGCTTTGGTCCCCCTTGGCAGCAGGCGTGGGGTGCTCGTGGGGATGCATGCCGACACATGGCTGTGCTGGAGGGACGCGTGGCAGTGACAGCAGTGCCGAGGAGGGATGTGGGGCTGACCCTGCTGAGAGACCTGGTGTTACCCTTGGGGAGCAGCTCTTCTTTCTGCTGATACACTGAGATAAGGTGGTATCGCTGCTGGCCAGGCAATGCCATGCACTCCCTGGCTGGATATCGCTTTCTGGCTTTCATTTCCTGAAAACCTCGCATGCGAGGAGGCTGTGGGCTGAGCTGCAAGACAGGGCTGGTGAGGAAAGAGGGCTCGGTGACTCTGCCACATCAGGGAGTGACACCAGGGGACTTTCACCACCTGGGCAGGGCTCGATGTGGCATTTACAACGTGATGGGAAAATGACACCCTGTTTGCTGTGACCACGGTGGGGTGGGGGGCCGCATCCTGCCCCGCCATGGGGACACCGTGTCACAGCGGGGTGCCCAGCCCTGTGTGCCCACAGTCACCTCTGCCAGGGAGGGATGAGGTGGCAGAGGCTGCGCTGGAGGCAGATTTAGGGGAACACTCCACCGCAGTGGTGCCCGGCTCACTGCCTCCTGCAGCACCAAGGGCATCAGGGAAGATGCCCAGTGTAACTCAGTATGACCTCGGAGAAGGTGGTCAGAGCTGGGGGTCCCAGCTGGGGTTGGTTGCAACAATGCTCAATTTCTGCTCCCATTCCCAGGTGCTGGGGCAGACGCCAACCCTGAGCTCCCCTCATCCCCTCTCCTGGGGTTCTGATGGGGCTGCAAGCCAAAATGCACCGTCCCCAAGAAGTGCCCGTAAGGTCCAGCACCCGTAGGGCAGCACCTGGGGCTGCCCCAGTTTCCCCCATGCCCGTCGGTTGGGTGCCTGAGGACGGGCTGATGTGCCGGGCAGGCGTCACAGGCCACCCCACGGGCAGTGCACTGGCTCTGTTGTGACCAGTGGGACAAAAACCAGATCGCTCCTTTTTTAGCACCAGGAACGCTCCGCGCTGCCGGGAGCGCTACCCGAAATGGTTGCTCGCCTGTGTTTACAGTCTCCCTGAGTCAGAGTTAATCCAGCAGCAGATTGTTTATGCCATAGGTTAAATAGTGTCAGAAGCCAGCCCTAATGGCTGTGTGATGGGCTGGGAAATGCAGGGAGATCCCCATAGCAGCCACAGCAGTGTCTCTGCTCCTGCAGCCCTCTTGCACCCAGGGCCATGGCTCTGTGGTTCCCTTTGATGGACAAGGAACGATGGCCCTAGGCATGAGCTATGTCCAGATTTACCCCTGTCTTGGCCCTGGAGGCACTGATTTTTGGACAGTGCCTATGAAGTGGATCAGGAGGGTCGCTGAGCCCAGCAAGCTGCAAACCTGCCATAGGCTTTAATCCTAAATGGCCGATGGCCACCCTGCTCCGCCTGCCTTCACACACCCTTAACCACAAGATGTGTCCCAGTCCCCAAAATAAATCATCTCACAGTGGAAGTCAGGTCCCGTAGCCACCGCATGCCTCGGGGAAAGGCTGGGCGAGCTCAGCAACACATCCCTCATCCAGCTGGAGGAAATTTGGCAAATAAACCCCCCCTTGGTAGAAGAAGCCCCGGTCCACAGTGATGTGCTGGGACCTGGGGCTCTTGAGGATGAGCGCCAGTGGCTGTGCTCACCTCACCACCTTTCCCTACCCAGGTGGGTTTTCCTCTACGAGAAGGGCTACCAGTCTCAGGACAGCATCGTCAGCTCGGTGTCGGTGAAGCTGAAAGGCCTGACACTGACCAATGAGAGCGTCATGGGCCCTCACATCTGGGATGTGGTGGATTATGTTTTCCCACCCCAGGTAAGGAGGCAGGGTGGGTGTGTTAAGGGGGGAGGGTTGCTCTTGTCCCGACAGCTGCTTTTCCCCGTGTGCCGCAGTGGAGATGGGCTCCTCGGCGTAGCCTTTCCCCGGGGCTCACCATGACACGCTGTCCCTGTGGTGGAAAGCGGGTTGCTCCTGCCACAAACCTCTGCCCACACCTCGCCCGTGGGGAGCATTGGGTGCTTGGGAGCCACCATGGTTGACGGGGCACGTTTGAGGCTGCCTCCAAAAAGATCAAGGCTCCTCCAGACGAGCATCTCGGGCAGCAAGAGGGGTCCTCCACTGTCCCCGGAGCTGGTGGCACTGCAGCTCCCCAGGGCCACCACCAGCTTCCCGGGCTGTGGTGGAGGAGGGCGGAGGACCCAAAATTAGGAAGAAAGGTGCCGTTTGCCTGGATGTACCCGGGTGGTTTGGGTGCCCTACCCCTTGCCCCAGGGAGAGGCTCCTCGCAGAGACTCCATCAGAAAACGCCGTGCCGGCTGTGAGCTTGTTGGCTGTGTCTCCACAGGGGGACAGCTCATTCGTGGTGATGACCAACTTCATTGTCACCCCTGGACAGAAACAAGGAAACTGCCCTGAGGTAAACACACTGGCTTCCTTCAGCAGCCTCAGCTTCTGTAATTTAGGGGTGTTGTGGTGGTGGCACTGGGGACTACGTTTTCCTGACGTTGAGAGGTTTAGTAAAAGCCTGAGCCTGGCCCCATATTATCATTCCTGATTTGCGAGTGCTACGTGAGGGCCTTTTTTCTGCTGAAAAATGGCCAGCATCCATTTACATTTTCTTCCCGCTGAGATGATCAAGCAGGGCAGAATTAATGCTTAAATAAAAGCACCTGCCTGGAGTCTAAAAAAAAAATCCCCCCTTTTTCCTGCTTAATCTGGACATCCTTGATTGGGAGGCTGTGTACGGACGAGGCTCTGGCTGCATCCGAGTGGTGTTTCCCCAGAGGAAAATGCTGCCTGGTGAAGGCAGGAGGGACAGAGGGACTGAGCCCGCAGGATGTGATGCTGAGATGCTGCCTGCTTTCTCCAAACAGCTGCCGGACGCCGGGCTCTGCGTGCGGGACAGCGACTGCAGCAAAGGGAAATACAGCCGGCAGGGACAAGGTACGGCACCGGCGTTTCTGGCGAGACACGCTGAGCCCTGTGCTGCAGCAAAGCCACCCGGCTGGGGTGTCTGGCAGGGGGACCTGCTCTGGACCACCAGCTGAAAGGGTTTGGGAAAAACCTCTGACATGCTGGGTGAGGGTCCCACCTGGGCTGGTCCTGCTTGCCTCTTCTGAAAGGTATCAGCTGCAAAAAGCTCTGCCAATAACAGGTTGATCAAAACTAAACTATTTCACCCAAGCTGCTACCCTGTTAACAGTTTGGAGTTTTCTGAGGTGTATTTTAGCAAGAAAAGTGCCCAGTTGTTCCCCTGTACAGTAGTACAAAAGAAACCACTGCCCTGAGCTGAGAGGCCAGAATTAATTACTCTTTTTATAAAGGGGAACCTAAAGCCTGGAGTATTTTGTGCCTTGGATGCCTGTGGCAGGGTTGGAGCTCCAACCAGATCCTGTCCATCCCAGTGTGAGGCTAGGATTTCCCAGTACCCAGGGTTGTGAGCAACTGTCTCTCTCCCCCCCAGGGCTCATGACGGGCAAGTGTGTGCATTTCAACACCTCTGTGAAGACCTGCGAGATCTTTGGCTGGTGCCCCGTTGAAGTTGATGACCATGTTCCCAGGTAGGGAATGATGCTGTTGCCCCCTTTTCCACCCCGGTCCCACCCCAGCTGCACTTGATGTGGGGCAGAGCAAGGGGGGGCTCTGGGGGTTGCTGTCAGGACAGCCTGGGTTGATGCAGACCCTGTGGCAGTAGATGCTGCTCAGTGTCCCCGGCGGGTTTGTGCCTCTCCTGATGTGATTTTTCCCCCAGCCTTGCTGGCAGCTCACCCCATCTCTGCTGGATGCTCGGTGCATGGACCAGCAGCCCCCCATCAATCCCATTTGCCTTCAGAGTAAAGTTCTGCTCTGCCCATGAGATGTTCTCCACCTCCAGCCTCCATGGGCCACTGCCAAGCACCTCTTGGTAGATGCACAGCTCTTTTCTTCCTTGCTTCCCCTCCCCACAGGCGGGCCACAGGGACAGCCATGGCTCCAGCAAGTTGCCCAGTTCTCTTCCAACCACCTCACTGTGCTTTTGGGCTTTCTTAACAGAAATCCCAATACCTAACTCCCTCCTTGTCCCCCAACAGGCACTTCCATCCTTCCTCGAGTCTTTTCTGAACCCTGTTAGGATCTTTCACTTAGATGGGGAAGGGATGAGATCACCAGTTTTTCTGGGTTCTGCTCATCCCAGTTTGGATGAATCTCCACCAAATGGCTAGAGGCCGGAGAGCTGAGTGATGGATGCATGTCAACACTTGTGTTTTTCAGCCCTGCCCTCTTGTCAGAAGCGGAGAAGTTCACCTTGTTCATCAAAAACAGCATTACCTTCCCCAGGTTCAAGGTGTCCAGGTAAGGGGAGGTTTGGGGTGGTGGCTTCTGCTCAGCTCCCCCGGCCACATCCCTGAGGGGAAACCATGGCAGTAGCTGGAAGCTTGATACAGAGGAGGCATCAGCGAGCCAGGGACTACTCCAGTTGCTGCACTGACCACCAGATTAGCTGATAGGAACTGAGATGTTTCCCTCCCAAATCTGTCCCACCTCAGTTGGTAGCTGTGGTTACAGGGAGGAGGTGTCTGGAATTAATGTCCCCTGAGTTACTCTCACATGATGCTCATAAAAATACAGTTCCTCTGATTCTTCATTTTTCTTCTCTCTTTTCCTCCCTGAAGATAACAATAAAACACTACACGGCACAGTGGGATGTGAGCAGCCAGGACAAGCTTGGTGCCCAAAAATTAGCAGAGGTCCTTCTTAACATCATATTTCCCACTTGTTTCTGCAATGGGTTGTAGGGTCAGCCCCTTCCAGGCAGCGCTGGAAACAGTGCTGCCAGCTGAAGGTGCACACATAAGAGGATTTGTGATGACACTGATTATATATCTGTTTTGGAACAAATTAATAGAAGCTATTTGTGTGGAAGATGGCAGATTCTTCTCAAAGCCGATCACATCCCTGCACTGTAGCCAAAGTTAAATGCCCTGGCAGCCAGCACACTTGGCAAAGTCTCGATCCAACCTCGTGCTGCACCCCGAGAGGTGGCTGGGAGGGGGGATCCCCCCACTAGAAGCAAGGAGAGGTGGGAACCTGAGAGGGGACACGGTGGGGGAGAGCAGGTCCTGGGACGTGAGGGCGGCCGGGCTGGCTGCTGAGCCAGAGCTGGCTGGGGTCATGGGGAAACTTCCTGCCTTTGATCACTGCTGCTAATTAACTGCTGAGCATAAACAATGGGACGGGGTTGAGCAAGGCACAAGTCTTACAAAACCATCAGGGTCAGGGCAGCTTCACAGAAAGACTATTTTTAGGTGAAAGAGAAGAGCGGGGTGGAAGGCAAGACGTCATCCTTTCCTTTTCACCCGTTCTGGAGGAGATAGCAAAATCCAGCTAAATGTAAAAGCTGTGGGATACACCACCCATGAGCTGTCCCAGATGAAAACCGTTGGTGCACGGAGCATTGCCTGGCAGAACCCATGGGCGAGCTGATGTGTGAATGGGAGAAGCAGCTGGGAGGGATGGTGGAGGCCACGGGAGGGTTTGCAAAGCTGAGGAACGAGAGAGGGGGTTGCTAGAAGTGGTGAGGACAGGCAGACATGTGCTGGGTTTGGGCAGCAGGCAAAGCAGAGGTGGAGAACATTTGCAGGAAAGAAAACAGCAGAGAGACTTCCTCCATAGGAGGAGGTTCAGGGGAAATGAGTTGTTGATGTGGTGGAAGAAACCAGGCAGGGCTGGAGGAAAGAGCCCATTCTCCATGTATGGGGTCTGATGACCCACGTTGAGGAGGAGGATGAGGCCTTAAGGTTTGACACTACCTGGCTTTGAGCAATAGGTTGGATCAGGGACCTCCAGAGGTCCTTTCCCACCCAAATTATCGGGTTATTCAGACTCTTTCTCACTCTCTTTTCATTCACAGGCGCAACTTGGTTGAGACCGTTACCAAACAGTACCTGAAGAAATGCACCTATCACAAAGTCACTGATTCCCTATGCCCTGTGTTTGACCTGGGATACATAGTGAAGGAATCGGGTCAGAATTTTACCTTCCTGGCTGTTAAGGTACTTCAATTTCAAATGATGTTTCTTGCTGATGTGGGGAGGGCGACACCGACAGAACAATCATCCCCAATCTGCTGAGACGTGAGCGATCTGTTTTCTCAAGGACTTGTGAGGCAGTGTCAGAATTAGCTCTTAAAGATTATGAATCTCCTTGGACATAGCCTAATATTTAAGCCTTTCTTGGAGACTTCCCTGTAAGATTGACAAGATTTGATCTGCTGGCAGTAAATCCAGGGTTCAGTTTGTTTTTAATTTGTGCAATGAATAACTAGAGCTGTGTGGCCAAATCTCATCCGACTGAGCTGGAAAACCTCAGCTGGCTGGTCAAATATTGGTTATTGCACAGTGGAAACTGCAGCCTCTCCCTAGGCTCAGAAATGTGGCTTTGCCCAATGTTTCTCAGGGTGATATGGAGAAGTTTCTGCACTGCAGAGCCTTAAGCTAACTTTTTGCCAGGCATTAAATAAAATCAGAGGCTTGCATATATTAAAGGTGCAAAACAACAAGTCTCTGGAGCACAGCTAGTTACAACCTGAACTGAGCTTGGGAGGGACTGCTTCATTTCCTAGCAGGTGGCCACTTCTCTTAGAGGAGGTTTTTTTGGTTTGATTTTCATGGGTTCATTGCACTCTTTTCTATGACCATGTTGAACTGCCTTTTATTTTCCCTGTGATGTTAATAGTTTGATGGCAAGGTTAAGCCACAGAAAAGGCAAATCTCATGGGCAAAATCAGGCAAGGGAAGGCTGTCCCACAAGGACCGTGGGGGATCTGCAGTGAGCACTCTTTCTCAGGACCATGGCTTGGACACGGAGTGCTGCTCAGGAACAGGAGGACATGGATTTAGTTGTGTATCCAGCATTTAGGGCAGATGCAAGTGCCTCGACAGAGGGTGACGTATAGGACACAAAGCTGAGGCTGCCCCAAAGGCTGAGGGAGCAGTGGGTCCGTGTGCCCTGGAGAGCCAGGACCCTCCATAGCATCAGGAAAGGCCACATACGAGGAGGGAAAACATTTCTGAGTGCGGGCCAGGTGCAAGGAGGGACAACCTCATGACTCCCCTCTTGTCTGCAGGGTGGAGTGGTAGGCATCACCATAGACTGGAACTGTGACCTTGACTGGCCTGTCCGGTACTGCAAACCCATTTACCAGTTCCACGGACTTTACAATGATGACAGTAACGTTTCACCAGGCTTCAACTTCAGGTAAGGAGACCACTGTTAACTCTCCAGGTGGAGTTCAGAGGTGACATCTTTCAGGATCCCACAGCACTTAAGGGATGGTGGAAGATCAGGGACTGTTCACCAAATACTCACTACCTTTGCAATGCCAGACAGCAGTGATCTCTTTAGAATGGCGTGGGAAAAGTTATAACCCATCCTTTGACCTCAAGATTACCCCATTGCCTTTCCCTGTACGTCTCTTCCCCCTTGCAGACTCTCCTGAGCAGCTGAGCTCTTAGAAAGCCCCTTGAGAGACTGGAGATGGTGCAGGGTCCTCATGTGTTCCCACTTCAATGCATTCAGCCATGGCACGGCACTTAGGCACGAGCTGCTGCTCTGTGAGAAGCTGCCACTAGTGCTGCACTAATATCCAGTGTCACGTAGCACTTTGGGTCTTCAGGTATCAGCACAAGCAGGAGCTTTAAGTCCAACTTGCAGGCAGGGAAACTGAGGCACAGAAGGGAGAGGTGCCAACAGCTCAGCTCCTTTGGGGGCGGGGGGGAGGGTGTGTTTAAGGAGAGGGTCAGGAGCGGGTCCATGACAACGCATCCCCAGATCTTTGTCCTGCTCTGCAGCCCACCGAGGTCCCACTGCTGTTGGGTTGCAGGGGGCTGTTAGACACCCTGGCAGGCCATTAACGGTGACCATCCAATCGGACAGATATGCCAAATACTACAAAGAAGACGGGGTGGACAAGAGGACTCTCTACAAGGTGTTTGGGATCCGGTTCGACATTTTGGTGAATGGCAAGGTAAGGGTGGCCAGGCGCTGGGTTTGCCCCGGATCCCCAGGACGGCAGTGCCACGTCCTCAGGAAGGTACCAGCTCTGTAACGCAGCACCGGGGTCTCATGGGGCCAGGAAAACCTGTGTGAGTGGTTTTCTTGGGTGCTGGCCTTCTCACAGCACCCCTCGGGAAGTGCTGGGGAAGGGAAGATAGAGGGGGAAGCCCATTTTACAGGTCACATCTACCAGCAGCTGTTTGGTCAGTGGTTTTTTCCCAAAAAACGTCACGATAAGTTGTGGGGGGAACTGTGGGAAGTCAAAACCTTTTACTGATGTATCCAAAAGCCAAACATTTGCATTTTTCAATTTTGTCTTTTTCTTCCCACTGGGAGACAAGGCTTTCCTCGTTGAGTTCTCACCGGGAATACTTAAAGAGTTTTTTGATTTTTTTAATTAAAAATACAGGAAGAAAAGTAATTTCAATTTGTGCCAGCCTAAACCCAACCTACCATACTTTCTGTCTGAACAATGAGATTAAAACCAGTTCTTACCCAGCTTCTGTTTCTTTCTGTGCTGTGGTTGTGGTTTGGGTTGCTGCAAGGCCCTTCAGCTGAGCCCCACCTACAGCTATGGTACCTTTTTTTTTTTTTTTTTTTCCCCTGGACTAGTTGTAACATATCACCTATTTTCTCCAATTTTTTTCAGGCAGGCAAATTTGACATCATCCCGACTATGACCACAATTGGCTCTGGAATAGGTATTTTTGGAGTGGTAAGTTCAGATATTTCCAGCCTCTATATGGAGACTCTCAAATTATTCTCTTTGCCTGTGACATCTGTAGGGAAGTGTCCCTGAGCTGCTGTGAAATACTGGTTCCCACTCAGGGAACAGGGGATGGGCAAAAGGGGAAAAGGAGGTGCTCTCATGCCTTGCTAGCTCAGAAAAATACATTCCTGCTGACCATGGGCTGATGTGAATTCTGCTAGAGGGAGCTGCTGCCCTGCTGAGTGAGGGGAAGGCAGGCTTTTGTGGCAGGGACATGTCTTGGCATCGTGATAGTTTCAAGTTAGAGCTGGTATTGGGAGGGGTTTAGAGGTGATGGGCAGTATTTCATGCATGACAGAAAATCAGCATGCTCTTTGGTTATAGTTATTAAAGACTTCAGCTTGACCTGGAGGGTGTTGTGCTCTTGCATATGCCAAAAGTGGAAACACTTAATTTCTGTTGGCTTAAATTGCCCACTATTGAACTCAGCATACTTCACTTCTGTCCTAAATGGATGTTCAGGGACTGTATGCTCTTTAGCAGCTGCCACGTTGTGGGTTGAAGCAGAAGTGACTCTAACTTGTGGGGCAAACTGGAACAAGCTGGAAGTAGAAGGTGGCACAGATGAGCTGAGAGGGCAGTCCCAACCCTAACTGCACTTTGATTTAAGGCCTCTGTCCTCTGCGACCTGCTCCTGCTGCATTTTCTCCAAGGACGGGACTATTACAAGCAGAAGAAATTCAAATACGCAGAACAAGAGCCCGTAAGTAACAGTGAGTCCCTCCCCTGTGGAGGCTCTTGCAGGTGTGTGAGCGTGGATGTGTGCATGAGTAAAGATGCTATAACACAAACAACATTTATACTGAGGGGCAACCAAGCACCTTCCTGAACAAGTGGGAATCCTGAGCCCTTGGGACTGTCACAGACTGGGATCCATGAATTTATTCTCCAAAACTACAGAGATCTGCTGTGTGATTCACTGTTAATAGCTTTATTCCCTCCCTTTATCCCCAGATATTCCAATATCTGGCAACACTTGCATTGCTTTAAGGGAAACAGGGGCAGACCAGTGCCTTAGCAAACTGGAAGATGTCCCCTCTTCTGCTTTCTGAGAACATCCCCATGGCCCTGGGATGTTTCATGGCCTTTCATCAGACACAAAAACAGCTCCCCTCAAATTCATCTGAAAATATGCTCATACATTGGAGGTTAGAAGTTGATGTTCAACCACATTCTTCCCTGGCATCAGAAAGGTGCAGGTTTGTAAAAGAATCATTGTTTTCTCTCATTTAACCCCCAGTCAAAGTCGCATAAGAAGGAAAAGGAGCTGGACAATACGCAGTGAGAGGTGAGTGGTGCTTCCCCAGCCCTGATAGCATACGGCTGGCAGGGGTGGGGGCTATGGGTCTCAAGGGCCTTCCCCTGGGAAGGCAGCAGGGCTCCAGGGAAGGCAAGGGGGAAATCTGAGCTGTGGGCTGTAATATTTAACCTGGGGCCAGCATTTCCCAGAGCAGGCAAGCGCACGGGATGTGGGACTGACGTCGCATCTTCGACGGCAGCATCGCTTGAAGAGGGGCAGTGGGGGGCAAGACACCAGAAATCACTGCGCACCTCTCTCTCGGCAGAATCCACACTGACTGACAAACCTGCACCCTCTTCCTCCTCCTCTCCTAAAACACGGTTGTCATCCCCTGTCACCACCCGGCACCAGCCCCAGGACCAGCAGGAGCAGTGTCCGACCCCGGCTCATGGGACGGTGGGGCCCTGCAGCCAGGGCAGGGGCCGGCCGGCCGGGACACGCTGCGATGCTGCGCGTGGGTTAAACCAGGGGACCCTCCGGGCCCTCCTGCTGCAGGGCACTGGGCTTTGCTGCCTTTGCAGATACTTCCAAAGGGCTCCCGCTGCGCCCTGCCTGCTGTGCTGGGGCTGTGGCAGAGCATCCCCCACCCAAAAAGCCCCTCGGGACAACATCACTGCCTCTCCTTCCCCAGTGGCACCCTTGGAGAGCTCCAAATTGAGGAGAGGAGGAGGGAAGGAGAGCTGGCAAGGACCAGGCCCTCAGCATGGGAGAAAAGTGGTTATTTTGTAAGGATGTATTTTATTAAAAAAAAAAAAAAAAAAAAATAAACCTTTAGTTTTTCTACTACAACCCTTTGTGGTCCCCATGCTTGCCCCGGGTGTGGGGTACGCAGTGCTTTTTGGCACTGGGGGGGTTTGTGCATGCAAAGCAATCCTGTAAATCAGGCTGGAGCATGGGGCCTCTGTGGCGGGCTCGGTGCAGGCTCCCCCGGGGCTCTGCCCTCCCGTGCGGGGCCCCCGCGCCTCCGGCCATGAGCAGGGCTCTTAGCAGGGTTGTCACTTGGGTTTCCTCCTCAGACAGGCTGGCTGGCGTGCTGCCAGCCATCAAGAACGGCTGCCCCGCGCCAGCTCTGCCTCCCGCTGCCCACGCCGGGCAGTATTAGCCGGTCAGAATTTGACCTTCTCGGCGGTAGCCTCGCAAACCAGCACTTTGCACCCAGGAACAAAACTTGCCCTCTCTGCGGGAAGATTTGCGCCTCTCAGCGTGTGCAGTTGGACATCGGGAGCTGTGCCCAAGCCCCACATCGCCACGAGCAGCCCCTGCCCTGTGCTGCTGGCTCTGTTCCGTTCTCCAGGATGCATCAGCACAGGCGTTCTGCACAGTCTCTGCATGTCATTTTGCACCCTCCGGAATAAATTTTGCCTGGGTCCCTTCAAAACTGGATCCTGCCTGCCGTGGGAAAGTCAGTAAAGAAGGGATCGCTCTGGCTGTGGCTGCGAGGCCGCTGACGGCAGCGGGGAGCGTGGGCAGCAGCCTGCGGGGTGGCCGCACTGTGCTGGGCTCGCAGGGCCACGTGCCACAGGTGATATTTGGTCATAAGCTCAACCAACATTTCAAGCCATATATTCCCCATGGAGAGATTATTCGCTCTCAGAAGGATGCCTCAGCTTTCACAGGCAGGGGTTTTTTTTTAAGATTATCCATTTGGCTAACTTTTTCACCCTTTCTCATGATGCCGTCCGGTGTAGGAGAGGTGCCAAGTGCTACTATTAAAGGTGCAGAGATGAAGGTGAGGGAAAGCTCCCTGGTCTCTGGAGGACTCGGCGCCTTCTCAGCAGGCGCTGGGGGCGTGGGGCTGGTGGCATCCCCACGATGCCCACGCAGCGTGTGCCCTCCTGCAGCGCTCAGCGGGGTGAAGCACCGCACAGTTGCAGCCTGGTGCAGCTCTCCAGCAAGCTGCAACCAGCAGAGGGGACTGGAAGACCATTTCATACAGACACGCCTGCGGAAAATTCAGTTGCCAAAGATTAGAGGCAGTGAAGCGAGAGTGTTCAGGTAACCTTTTGTACCCACTTAAACTGGGCCAATCTCTAATCATAACTTAAAGTAACCCACACAAGGCTGCAGGTAGAGCAGGGGGTTGTTTCAGCCTGTTCAATCTTTCAAGCTGCTTGTAATGCAAAGCCTCTATTCTTTCCTAGGAAGTATTAAGAGGCAGAATAAGAAATTAGGAAAAATCCTACTTGTAAATGATCCCCTGTAGATGCTATTCGAAACCTCTGAGCTGGGATCCCTAAAAGTCCCAAGACTGCTTTAAAAACTGTGGGAGGGTTTATTTTCATCTCGACTGTTTTTTAAAATGCACAATCTTTGGGGATCCTTTGCTTTACTTTTCATTCACCAACCATTTCTGCAACCAGCAGAATGACATATTGTAATTTTAATTCTCTCACCAAAACCAAGCTCCTCCTCCAAGCCAGGGCTCTTAGGGGCTGTGGCTTTCAGGTGGTCTTTCCATGCAGAGCGATAGCCGCCTGGCTGAAACTGAGCGAGTGGCTGATTTTAATGTTAACCACCGGTCCCCTTTGCAGTATGAAAAGGCAGGGGAAGCCCATGGCAATTGTCTCTGTCCCTCCTTTTGCCGGAGGGGCTGAGCTGGTGCTCAGGGGTGCGAGAGCAAGGAGGAAGGGCTGGTCTGCTCAGCCCGGTGCGGGAGCCTTTGCTGGTGTAGACGTTTTATTTCAGCACTGCAGGTCCCAGCCCCTTCTCCCAGGGCCTTCCAGTTCGCAAAAATTCATGCAAAGTTACTGAATGCAGAATGGTGCACAACAGTTAAATGTCTGCACATCTAAAGCACTGAAAAATTGAAATAATGACAGGTTTAGGATCTGCCCTGAGAAAGGCTGCACCCTGCAGTGTGCTGGCATTGCTGCGGAGCTTGTTGCATGGAGATCCTTCAGTGCAAGTCCCGGTGGGGAGGTGTGGGTCACCAGCAGGACCCTAGTCCTGTCCTCTTGGTTTGATCCGATCTTGCTCTTAGGGTCAGGGAAGAATTCCCTGTGCTTGGCATCTGTTGCGGCCAGAAAGCGACTGTATTTGAAGCCGTAAAAAGGCGGCCAGTGTATCCTGCTGCTCTCTGAGCTCTGAGCGGTGAGCCAAAGTGTCATAGAAACCCAAAGGGATTTGGTCATCATGCAAAGACCCCTGCAATGACAGTTTGCTGTGTTGTTTCCTATTTATGCTGTGGCAGTTGAGGGTTGGTTGGGTTGTGGTTTTTTTTTAAAACTCCTTGTTAAATTGTGTTTTGGTTTTTACACTGTTATTTCGCTAATAGAAAAGGAAACTTCAGCAAATGAAACATTGCCTCCAAACACACAAGAAAGAACATATATTCTCCAGCTAATTCCTAATCATTACAAACAGCACTAACAAGCTCTAAGGGTCTAACAGAGGACTCTGGCACTGATCATGGGTGTTAGATGAAGAGACCAAACTGTGAGTGCAGTGTTACTATACCCATTTTACTGAAAGGGAAACCAAGACACAAGCAAATAATTTCTGAACGTGTATGCAAATGTGGTGAGCAGATTCTGCGTCTGACCAGCTACTGTTATCTGTGAAGGCTACTCAGTTGGACCTAGTACAAACACAGCTTTTCATCTACTCATGTGTGGTTCCTCTGAAAGAAATCAAGTTGCATGGAAATTCCAGAAAAGCAACTGCAGAAAAACTTATTTGGCAATAATTACGCTGGGTAGTGATGCTGCAGAGATGAGGAATTAGATTTCAACCTCTGCAGATCTGGCAACATTTAATCATTATGTTTGTGCACAAATCCCATCACAATGAGGCTCTGGTTTCCACCTGGTGCTTCCAGTCACTGCAACAATGCAAATTAAAAATGAATAACACTAAAGAAAGAGATAGCTCCTTCGCTATGCAATCTGTCCTGTCTCTCATTCCACTCATTCTTTCTCTGGCACAGCGGACTCCCTTTTGTTTTTAACCCAGTCCTCCACTTAAGACATTCTTGGATTTTTTCCCTAAAAAAGTACCTGCCTCTCTGGTTACCCTAATTCCCTTTTGATGTGGGAACGTGTTTTCAGTTTGATAAATCCTCTGGCTGACACACAGTGAAGCACTGACAGGAGCATTTATGTCCTCCCAGCTCTAAATGATGCTTATATTTCCTTCTGTCCCAAAGACGTGCGTTCTCGGGCCAGATTGTGCTGGGTGGCAAAGGGACCCTCTCTGCCCTTAGAGCATGAGGCGTCTGCAGCTCAGCCTGCAGTCATGCTCCCAGTGACAGTTACGTTCTTACAGCCCTTTTTCGCTGCTGCCAGCTCTGTATTAATTATGTCACACTATTTTCTTTGCTTTCTTTGGTGAAGTTCTCTCTTCTTCTGTTATCTATTTCTAATTGCTTTATTGCCTTATTTTAGAAAGTGTAAAAGTCAAAAGTGTCTAAATGGATTCTAAATATAGCAACAGCACAGTCAACCGACGGGGTCTTTAGCAGGGATGTCAGGATTGTTCCAGCTCTGGCTACCAGTACCAAGCATGGATCCTGCTCAGCTTTGTGGCACCACAAAGAGATTTGGACTAACCCATTCTTAAAAGAAATTATAGCTTCAACTCTTTTTTTAATCTAAACATACTTGTGAAATGCCTGGGGATATGTAAAGTCTCCCTCTCATGACTGTAACTCAAGAACAGGTTAAATAAACACCCTCCCAGTCCTTGCACCCAGAAAACAAGTGGGAAATAACAGTTACCAACCAACTATACCCAGTAATTATTGAACAGATATACCAAAGCCTTATTTTAACATTGTCATAGACATCATGGTCTAAGCATCAGAGAGACTCTTTTTGCACTGGTCATTGCCGCTCTGCCGTGTAATAACCTGTGTACTGTGAAAAGGGAAACTGTTTTGTTCAGTTTTCTGGAAGAAATAGCAGACTCTGTCTGAGGCTAGCTAAGCAGGTTATTTCATTAGGTCAAGTGCTAGCAGTCTTTGCCAGAGGGGATAGTTTCAAACCCTGATGCTGGTGTTAAAACAGTGCTTCAGACGTCACTGGTGATTTAAACTACGTGATGCTACAAGAGACAGGTCTTTAGGGGCCAATCCTCAGCAATTCCCAAGCAGCCAGCATCTTCTAGTCATCTCAAAGCCAAACGTGAATCAGCCCAAATGACTTTTGAAACCTGTGAAAATACATCTCAGCGGTAGTTATGGCAAGAGCAGGAGGCTGAAAGTTTTACTCATTGCTCAAGAGTAGCCAAGTTGTCCCTGTATGAGCAAGGCCCTGCTTGACTGAATTGAAAGCTCCTGTGAAACAGGTCAGCATTTTATCTTATATATGTTTTGGTCTTTCAGAGCACCTCTCGTGCCCTGGAGCCACAGGAGCACAGTCTCTGCATAGGCACAGCCACATTCCTGGGTCCTGGGCACTCACATCTGGGCATCCGAGAAGGAGGTTGCTGGGGCTTTCCCTGCTCAAGGCTGGGAGGAGGCTTTGCTTTTGCTCGTGGGCACATTTTGCTTTTCCTGAGAGTCCACCATGGCCAACACACAGCCCAAGAGTTCAGGCTGGTAGCTGTCTGAGATGATATCTCATTGGTGATTGCAGATGAGCAGTCTCGAGATGGTTACCTTATTGTTGATCATTAGTTAATATCCAGAGCTGCTGGAAGAAGGCAACAGCTTTGGATGCATGAGCTCAAGGTGATAAGGCTCCCTGCTGCCCTGTTACAATCACAGAATCATTTAGGTTGGAAAAGACCTTTAAGAACATCAAGTTCAACTGTTAACCTAGCACTGCCAAGGCCAACTAAACCATGCC